TAACAATTTACCCTTTTATCTTATTCTAGATTTTAAACTATTTTCTTTCTCATATTTTATTTATTTTTATTAAGTAAGAACGTGAACATCGTTTTTAGCTTAAAGGAAGCTAGTTTCTTTCTTTGTTATTTCTGTCTTTTTTCATAAAGTGATTATATCTTAATATTCAGAATTAAGTTTTTTATTTTTATAATTAACAAAAATAGATCCAAAATTTTGACTAGAACAGGAATTTATTCATTTGGAATATAGGTTTTCTACTGTGTTTTTATTAGCATTAATTATCACCCCTGCCCCTTATCTTTCATTTGAGTTCCATAAGTTTCACCTTTGAAAACATGAAAATCTCTTTTCTGGTAAGGTTCTTTACTTTGCATCAAATTAAATCAAGAGAGTATTTTAATTCATAGTATCTTACTAAATAAGTTCAAATGAATCAAAAAAATAATTAAAACTTGATTTGTAAATTAAAGACATTTTTTTTTAATCATCTTAATTGAATTCTTCTGAAGCATGTGTACAAGTTTATTTGTTGATCATATATAAACAAACTAGTTGTTTTCAATTGTATTGAGAGAGACAAATTATTTTAAGAAACAAGTTATAATTTACAGTTTTATTTAAACAACATTCTTTCAGCTAAAAACACTCCTGTTAACATAATATAGAAATTTATATATATATATATATATATATATATAAGAAATTGAGATAAAGAATGATAGTTAAGTATTATTTGATGATAATATCAAATATGGCATAAAGACAAGGAAAGGTGGGATTTAATGTATTTACTTTTGGATGGGAAACCAAACTTCGGGTAGTTTTCTATAATTTTTGAAAAGAAGGGTGTGTCTTTAGATTTTACTATAATTTACTCTGATGTTTATCTGAGATAATAAGTTCCAATCTGTAATTTTGTTATGTAACAATTTTATTTATATGGTGAGTGCTGCTTGCTCAAGATCAGTTGCAAACTAGTTATAGCAAAACAAAAATGGTTCACGTTAATTGAAAGATATAATTTGATTCCCAGTGCTTGTATCATTGTTCTCCACCTGCTTGTTAGATCTGGTCACACTTTAAACATTTTTGAGGTCCATGCTAACAGAGAAGACTTCCAACTTCTATGTAAATACCAACAAAATGGAGCTTATTTACTTGCCTCGTCACTCAACTTGGTTGCAAAAGACAAACAGAGGTTCCACCATCTTGAGCCATACCGCCCTGCAAAACTTGTTGATTAGTAGTCTTCTTATTCCATTCTTGCATGAATTTCCAAGTAATGCAAATCTGTCCTATTTGTCCAAGTTGTCTCCTTTTACAGTATTCTGATGTGGTTTCACCTGTAGAGCAGGCCACTTTGTTGGGGCCTAATTTTTCCAAATCTCTTCTGCTGGAAAGTTTCAAAATCTCTTCACTTTTTTTGTTGCTCTCCAACTGCTTCTGCAGTACAGGAAATGATGGAAGATTAATTGGGTAGAATGATTTAGTAAATTTTACTGCCATTTGGAAGTTTGTCACGTCATATCAGTTAAAGTTCTTTCAACGCTTTAAAATACAAGGTTCTGTGGTCTCTTTCTTTTTTCTTTTATCTTTCTTTCTTTCCTTTTTTTTTTTTTTTTTTTGCCCTAATTACCAGGCCAAGCACTATTTAGAACCCTTTAGAACTCTCCCTGTCAGAAACTAAGTCATCTATAACTTGCATTTTTCTGCAGCTTTAAGTCACATTTTTTGAGAATTTATTTAAAGATTAGATCAAACTTAAAGGGTTTAGAAGCACATTCTTTGAGAACCATCTGTCTTCTTTCTCAAACTTCTTTGGTTAACCTTTTCCATGAGAAATTCCATACATTCCATTGTTTTCTCTAACCATTTTGCTGTATTTAAATCCTATTCATTGCTTGATAGCGAGTTTACTTATGGTGATACCTTGGAAACAGTCTTTTTTCATACTTCTCTTCAACGGGAAAGTCTAGTTGTCTGTCTCTTGTATTGGTGTTATCTATATGCTGATGCTTACATGGATTCACTAACCGCGTTTTCATAGGTAGCAAGTGCAGAATCTTATACTGATGTGATGCAGCGTGCTGGAATAGCCATCAGTATGGAGGTATTTAACTATAAATGATCTCTTATATAGGTTCTTCCTGCATTATTTAGACCAGCATAGTGTGGAAGTTACATTGCTGAATTTTATTTATTTTGCAGCAACGCAAGCAGACAATTTTGGATTCCTCTAATGCCTTGGCAAAAAGTGTTGGTGGCATTATCATTTTGCAGAATGATTTACTTGATGAGGTATGAAACGGGTCTCAATTCCTGCTTTGATTTAGTCTTTGAGACTCATTATTATAACTGCTACCTTCATACATAGGTTGCAAATCTCGTTGAGAAACCTGTTCCAGTACTTGGTAAATTTAATGAGTCCTTCTTAGTGCTTCCAAAAGATCTGCTAATAATGGTAAAGCCCTACTATGTTAACTTTCTTGTATTATTTGCAGCATATTTCCATCTGCCTTTGCTTCTTTCCTTGAAGAAAAATTGATCATTGCATTCTCGTATATTAAGCCCTTCTTTGAGCCCATTTTTTCAAAATATCATTTTCAACCACACATTCTTCCATAAAATAATTTTACACATAAATCCAAAACTTTTCTTTATTTATTAACCACACATTCTCCAAAAAATCGCTATTTCAAAATACATTTTACTCCGACAATGGGGATCAAACAGTGGCTTAATTTGTTTTAGAACATGAAATTTCTCATTGTAGTAACTTGCAATTATATGTGCTTGTTCTCTTACCATTTTTCTGGGCAGGAGCAGTTCATATTTATTATTGCCATCCTAAGGTGCCCGTTTCATGGATCATGCAGGTCATGCAGAAGCACCAGAAGTATTTTGCAATAACTGATCAGGGAGGAAACCTGTTGCCATACTTCATTTCTGTAAGACATGCTAACCGTGTTTTTTATCCGTATAATCATTGATATTATTTGTGAAAAGGTAATAAGAATCATTTGACTCTGGTTTTTTGTTTAGGTTGCAAATGGGGCAATCAATGAAATGGTTGTAAGGAAAGGAAATGAAGCTGTACTTAGGTTGATGCACTCCTCAATAGTTCACTTTTATACTGATCCTCTTTTCCATCTTACATCTACTTGAATATACACTAAATTACGTTGTGTCAAAATGCTTCCTTATAAGCCAACTAGTATTTTCAAAGAATGACTGTACACATCCAAGTTTTCTCCGCCTTCTGTACCTTTTCTTAATGGTATGAGTGCATGATTGAATAATTTAATATTGTTGCAGAGCTCGATATGAAGATGCAAAGTTCTTCTATGAGGTGGACACAAGTAAAAGATTTTCTGAATTTCGAAGTCAATTGAATGGAATTCTCTTTCACGTAAGTTCTAATAATCTTAATGTTTTCTGAGGTACCTACCCGGCTCATTCTCTCTGATTACTGAAGCTATTGATCAGAGTTCGTGGGAAATCCACAGCTCTATTTTTTCATTTAATATCTAGGAGAAATCAAGACTGTGTAGATTTTGGGTAAAATTGAAGTGATTTTTTTTTTTCATTTTTTATTTTTAATATTTACTAATTTCAAGTTGGAGCAACAAGCTAAAGAAATGTTGTAAATGCAATGTTTGTGCAATTACTTCTTTTTATTTTTCCTTTTTTGAATAACAAACTGCCCCATATAGTTGAAATTGTGTAATATTCTTTTAACAATGGAGATAGAAGCAAGTCTTTGCAGAACATTCTTTGTCTCTGGCAGTTCTCATATCTTGATAATTTAATAAACAGGAGAAGCTGGGGACAATGTTGGACAAGATGACACGCGTCCAACATTTGGTTACTGAAGTGGGCTCGTCTCTGCGGGTAAGTGGTGATACACTCCAAATCATCAAGGGCGCTGCATCATTAGCCATGATAGATCTTGCCACTGCAGTTGTTACTGAATTCACCTCGCTTTCCGGGATAATGGCGCGTCATTATGCTCTTAGAGATGGCTATTCAGAGCAGGTTGTTTGCATAACATTGCCTTATCATATATTCTAATGGCTGTTATTATTATTTTTTTCACAATTTGAATGCTCTAGTTGGGTAATCTGTTCTATTTTATTTGAGGAAAATTGAGAATAAGGTAAATCCCCTATCCCCTGCCCATTCGAATCCCTACAAGCGGTTAGGCCATTGTTACCAAGTTGTTCAGACATATGGCGCTGACAAAATGTCTTGCTTCAATAGTTTTGAATCTACTGAAACTCATAATTACAATAATATATCAATAAATGGTGATGTCTCATTTCGAGCATAAGTGGTAAAATAGTCACTACCTTGACTTACTGATATAATTTGATAATCTGATATACAGTAATATGCAACAGAACACCACAAGATTCTTGATTCCACAACCAATAGTCCCTTCCTATAATTATGAAAAAAATATTAAAGTTCTGCAAATGGGTCCAGCTATTCTCTTTTGCTTGGGGTAGACAAAGTTAAAATTGTCGACTATAAACTAACTTGTGTTCGTATAAACACACCAGAAAATTACACAATATCATCTTGATGAATATATTTTCAATTTTTATTGCCATAAAGTTTATAATCGCTCTCAAAAAGCTTTGGATCACGTGAGTTCTCGGTCTAGCTGCCTACTCTTGCTTGTGAACTTGTGACTCTGGGTGCTACTTTTATACGATCTCAACTCTAGCAGAAAAAAATAAAAAATAAGAATACCATTCTGATGGATATGCAGAGAGACTGAAAAGAAATTAGACTTTAAATGGGAAATGCATTTCTTGTTTAGGTTTACCAAATCCAATATTGCTGTCTTTCTTCAGCCGACAAATTCAACTTTGTTTCTCTAATCATTCGTTTTCCTCATAATAACAGATTGCAGAGGCACTGTTTGAGATTACACTTCCACGATTTTCAGGAGACATAGTTCCAAAAACTGATGCTGGGACAGTATTGGCCATAACTGATAGGTTAGACACGTGCTAGTTTTTTTCTCTATGTGCTAATTCCTTGAGATGTTAGATTTAACAGAGCTACATGCACGATGTGCGGTGTCACTATCATATTTGAAAGTGGATTTTCAGTTACATTTTAGGATTGCTTTTATTTTTGTCTTCACAAGTCCCAGTGCTTGCTGTGATTTGATTTAGGTCATAAAATACATGTAGGCTTTCTTTAGAGCTGATTTAGTAACTTTACACCAATAGATTGAAACTTGTAAGCTGGAAATTTCCAGTGGTCTGCCCTTATATGCATAAAGACTTAGCCCCAGTTTGGTTTTGCTAAAATCAGTTTTTAAGTAGATTTTGACAAAAGATGTTGAAATGTGTGGTTGAAAAGTTGATAAAAGTTTACCTATAAAAAAAAAAAAAAAAGTTTTTAAAAGTTGTGGGTCCTACGAAATATGGTTAAAACTAATTATTGACTTTAACTAGATTTTAACTAACTTTTTTAGTTAAACCAAACAAGGGCTTAATACATACTTGTTCCAGAAGTCAGTTATTACCAATTCTTATTTTTTCTGAATACAATGCAAACTAGCTTGTTGAAATTTATCTCCAGCTCTTCTACCTTATATGTTTTATCCTTGATTTTCACGCCATACCAATGGATATCTTTGATCCTGACTTCCATCTGATGGGGTCATTGCAATGAAATTTAGCTTCATGAGCTGCTTGTTGAGTAGAAATTTGTTTCCTTGTCCTGCCTGACTGTTAAAATTATAGGATGCATTTTCCCTTGAAAAAGGAAGTGTAAAGACCTGAGAGAATAATCATATTATCATAGCCCCATAAATAGTCATATATTACTATTTTCGAGATGAGTTGTATAAGAGTATTTGTTTAATCTCTCTGTGAACTTTTATAGATAAGAGCACTTTGGCTTGTGGTCTGGTTTCTATTTGTTATTGCTAATCGAAGTTGGCTTTTTTCAAGTATAGAATCAAATCTCTGTTTCGGACTTGGCTTTTAATTATGTTTTCTTGTAATAAATGATAACGTTAAGAAACTTATGCTAACTAAAATCTAAATTTACTTCATTTTCTATTCGATGTTTTTTATCATGCTTTGATTCATTTCATCATTTTAGCTATATAAATTAAATTGAATATAGTTACCCATCCCGATATTAATACTCAATTGTGAACTCACATGATTTAAGATAATTGTTTTTGGCATTTGTCATGGTATGTTATTCCATATACTGGAAAAAGGTGGTAATTATGGTTCATTCCTGATTTAGAGCTGAAGGTGGATGTATGGTGAATCTGCACGTGCTCATGTTATTTTCTGTTGTCTTCTGGCAGAAATTTCTGTGTCTTTTTGCCTGGGGTATTTCCCTTTATGGTTTGATATTGAGCTATATCTTGCAGGTTGGAAAGCCTTGTTGGCTTATTTGCTGCTGGTTGTCAGCCAAGCTCCAGTAATGATCCTTTTGGCTTGCGAAGAATCTCTTATTGTCTCGTATGTCATATCGATATAGTCATTGAAATTTCATTTTCTACTGAGTGTGTAAACAATGCTGCATTTATGTGTTGTAGGTGCAACTTCTGGTAGAAACCAATAGAGATTTAGATCTAAGGCATGGTTTAGAGCTTGCTGCTGCTGTTCAACCCATAAATGTAGCTGCGGAAACAATAGATACTGTAAGGCCCTATTTGATATGCCTCCGTTTTCCATGTAAAACTAAGACAAATGAACATCAAAAGATAGATGATTTTTTATTTTTATTTTTTTTTGGCAATGGAAACAAGTTCTAGGAATAATTATAAAAGAAGATATTTCTTAAATTGACAATTTTCTTGAAAAATTAAGTTAAACGAATACCAAAAGATACTTTTATTTCAACATTTTCTAAGTGATAAATTATACCAATCAAACACTATTAATTGACAATTCTCAGAAAAATAATTTCTAGGCAATTCAATTCCGTGGAATTCGTTTTTTTTCCACCCGAATTCCATCTTTGAAATCAAACGGACCCTAACTGTCTTTGATTGGTCTATGAAGGTCAAATTTTGTAGTAGACAACCTATCACTCTCCTCTGTTGCTTGTTATTAAATTTGTCCGGTATAAAAAAATTTCTTGCTTTTAATGTAAAATAAATTATCAAATTACTATCATCTTTCATCTGCTTCACCAGAGGTATCCTTTTATATTACTATAGTATAAGCCATGGCATAGTGTCTTGGATGCGGTATTTTCTTAATCTCCTGATCAGAAATCCAGAATTTGATCATTTCCTCTTTCGTTTTAGGTACATCAATTTGTAACCAGGAGACTTGAACAACTTCTGGTATGTACAACTTTTACTTGTGAAAGCTCTTAAACTTTTATGGTATATCTTTTGCATCGTAACCCATACATAAATATCAATCTCATGTCCAGAAGTCATAGAAATCTTACTTTCAATATATTCTTGAAAAATATTATAATAGGCACCGGATTGAAAGCACAAATGCATCTTGTTTGGCCTTGGAATTTAAGAAACCTGGTTTATGATGTAAACATGGTGACATCTTATTGCATTCTATCTCAATAAAAAGGAGATGAATTTTGATGCTAAGTTATGTTCTTTGTTGAATGCTGTTAAATTGTTTGTGTAAATAAATATTTTATTTGAACCACCTTTTCTAACAGATTGGAAAGTTTATTTATTTATATTTTTAGAAGATTTGAGGGATTCATAGTGACCTGCAAATAGTTTCCTCAGTATAATGATTTTCCATTATTACTAGTCATGTTTCTCATTCTTCTTTGGAATACCCTTGAGAGTTGCGGTAAATGTGTAATCTCTGTTCCAGAATGTGCGTTGTTTCTGATTGAAAGGTTAGGTATTTATGAAACTTTCATTCATTTTATTTGTTTTTTTTTGCCAGATGGACCAAGGAATAAGTCCAGAAGTGGTTCGCTCTGTTCTTGCCGAACGTGCAAACCAGCCCTGTTTGGCGACAAAGTCTGCATATAAAGTAAGTAATGGTTTATTTTTTGTGGATTTGTATTTGAAGTGAGAACTAATTATCAACACATGAATAAAGAATGCTCAATTTATTTATTGTATTTATTATGGTAAAACTGATGAGTAAATTCTGGGTGTGCCCACGGGGTATGTTGAGGTCAGGCAGTTAAAATAATTATTTCATCATACTTATTGTGGTTTCCAATCTTTCCACAAGCTCCATTCAACCTCAAAGGTGTTTCCCTACTTACTAACTTTTCTATGGGTTACGAAAACATGTATTTTTCTTCTGAAGCAAAATGCCTGAAGTTTTTATACGAGGCTGGTGCCTAGAAACTATTTAGACAAAAAATTACAAAATTTTCACTTTCAATTAATGGGAAAGAAATCAGGAAAATCCTATCAAACAACTCAAATAAGTGTGATCACTGCTGACCAAATTACAATTATGGACCGAGGTATTGCCTTTTTCTTTTTTTTTTTGAAGTCAGATTGTCAACCTTCTGTGGGCAATATAGTTTCTGTAAGTAAACAGTTTTCATATTCAATGTATAAATTTTTCTCGATCCATAGATGTGCATATCATGCTAGCATTGCTACTCTTTATCAACCTTTCCTTATGTTTAAGTTAGGATACCTAATTTCAGCTTTTGAAACTATATTCTTAAATCTTAACTATTGACAATAGAGATTTTGAGAGTAGTGAAGCAAAGCTTGATACGTAGTAAAATGTTTTTCCATGAAGAGGCTTGGCAAAGATAATGGCTTCTATAATTCATGCAAAAAAGTGCTCCCTTCATCCCATTGTGAATGTCCTACTCCCTTTTGGCCATTTCAGAATCAGAATCTAGTTTGAAGATTCAAACCGTTTTAGTTGCAACTTCACAATTATAACCCCACTTCGGGAGAACTAGACAAAAGCAACAAGAAGGCGGAGTGAAGTGAGAAGGTGAAAAATACATATGTAATAGTTGGTCCCAGGTGGGGATGGCATGGAGAGAGTAGAAATGAAAAGGAGCCAGAATATTTTCTACTGTTCTTTATTATTGAGCATGGATGTTCAAGTGGAAGCAATTAAGAATCTTCCACATTATTTATTGTTTTATATTATGATCTGTGAAGTAGATACGATATTTTCTTGTGATACATTTATTTATTTCTAAGAAGCTTTTGCAAGAAAGGTTGAACATCATCTTGTTTTCTACTGAATTCAAATGCTATAAGCAAATTAGTGTTTTGTTGCCTATTAAGTATTATGGATGTAAATTATTATTTGCATTGTTTGCAGATGGAAGCCTTGTCAAGAGGTGAGCTGCTGCCCAAAATTGTCGAAGTATATTCACGTCCAACAAGAATTGTCCGTGGAAAGGACATCAATGATGATTTGGAGGTGCTTTCTTTCACTTCAAAACAAAAATATTTTTGCAGTTGCATAAAATATCCATTCTATTTTCCATTTTTGAGGTGCTTTCTTTCACTTCGAAACGAAATTATCTTTGCAATTGCATAAAATATCCAGTCTATTTTCCATTTTTTCCCCATGATATTTCAAGCTGTCTACCAGGGTATATAGCATCGAGTAGTAAATTTGTACTGTCAATTAGGTAGAAAAGAGAGACTTAAGGTTTTAAATCACTTTATGTGATTAGTTATATTAGAAAACAAAGGTTTAAAGTTGACTAGTACTACTGGTACTGGAATTTGTTTTTCCTCTCGGTATCAAACTTTGGGCGATTTATTATATCCGAAAATACTTGTTGGGCTCTTACTTTTTGTGGTGTTGTTACAGTTGGCTATAATCTGGGTTTTGGATTTTCTTTTGAATTATTCTTATGGTTTTCTGTTTCGGAATTATGTATGGAACTTTTAGCCATTTCCAGAACTATTGGGTTGGAAGATCTATGTAGTCATGTCTTCTACCTTTGTGCCAGCTGAAATTTAATGTCCATGAATGTCTTGCAGTTTGATTCCTGTTTTTCGCCATTTGGATGATGTCCCACACCAGCTTCTGTGTGGCTACTTTAGTCTCTAGGAAAACATGCCTGTAGGCTATAGTAATAATGGAAGCACTGTGCAGTTGGTTTATGCAGAAGCAAGGCATTTTATTAGGCCAGAATTCATCATTCTAGTAGCCTTTTGATGCGAATGTGATTTAGAATTGCATGAATTGTATTTGTAATACTGGCTTTGTTACTAGGTATTACGTGTCATTATACCAATGTTGGTGTGGCGTGTCAATTGACTGCCATACCTGATGATGTCTGGGGCATGCCCAAGCTCATGAAAGAGCTGGTAGAATCAAATGTAGAAACGCGAACATAAAATGTGAGAAATACATATAGCAAATTATGTAAGAAACAGTTGCCTATACAATTATAAGATATACTAGTTGGATCATAGGATTCTAATTTATTATCCGGTATATCCCTCAATTTTTGGCTTTCGATGGATCCTCAAGACCTTCTACATGCCTTGCCCTGATCCACAAATTAATCTGGATATATTCTTGTTCAGGTGGAAGAGTCCTGGACTGGCTCATAAATCACATACATTCATTTCATATATCATATTTATGAATAGGTACACGTATTTCGATACAAATGTGGAATCTGTGACTTGGACCCGACTTCTAAACATATTTTCTAATTATACAATTGCCTCTTACTCCTCTGTGATTGCCTATAGTTATAAATCGTGAAGACATGGAAAAGAAGCATCTATATTTGCTCCTAGTCAATAGCACTGTCACAATTTGTTGTCCAGTGAGAAATCTTCTCTTCTAATCTACAATGTCATGTTGAATTATATATACTTTGATAGTTTTTCTGCGGTACAATTTTGACATGGCTCGATATCTGATGTCATTTTGTCGTCGTACGGTTACATTTTACCACATTCAGTTTCACTCATCCATTTAAAAATATCCTGTTAGGTGGATGAGGGAGCTTTCGAGACAAAGGAAGAGAAAGCTTTGTGGTGCACTTTCACGTCGTTAAGGACTAAAATTCGTCCTGGTATCACTCTCTCTCCTGTATTTAACTTCTTGTTTTGTAATGATGAGGTCACATATTTGCACAGCACTGCTGATCAATTTCTTCCTTTTTTAAACCTCCTGTGTGACTCATCTGTTCTCTGTACAGACATGGAAGTAGATGATTTTGTTGAAGCTTCTTCTGATCTGTTACAGCCACTTGAGGATTTCTTCAATAACGTGTTTGTTATGGTGGTATGTTTTTACTACACTATAAATTGACGATATCTATGAAACTTGCTTAATTTTCTTGGCCAGCTTATCGAAGCATTATATATTCGATGCAATAGGCTTATATGTGTTATCAGTTTTGCAATTTGTTTGAGCTTTCCATACTGGCATATTCTATTTGGGCAGAAACTTAACATAAGCATAGAAGTTAAAAAGTTTCTACATTCTTCCCTTACCCCGAAGTCCACTTTCCTTATCTTCCTTTGACAGAGATGATCAGATAGGCCCTAATTTAGAAGTATTAACCTTGGTCTAACATAATACAGAGGTTTCAGCTTCCCCACAAACAAAATTGTTTGATATCCAAGAGTTCATAGATTTTTTGAGGTGCAAAGATTGAGTAGTAACACATGCCTTATGTGGTTTAGTGGTTACGTAATTTTACATGTGGCAAGTGTTGAATTGATTTGTCCAACACGTTAGTAATTCCAACTTCTTTCCATGGGTTCCTGGTTTATGCATGTGAACTTGAAATCACTCTGCTAGTTTGCTGTTGAAGCAAACCACAGAATGATCTGTCTGACTAATCTCTGTTCCTTAGAAAACTTATGGCGCAGTTGTTTGACACATTCTGTCGACCCTTCTTAAACTTTTCATTTTTGTGGGTGCATGTCTGAATTTGGGTTCCCTCTCTTCAAAATCTGAGTGCAGGAAGATGAAAGAATCAGAAAGAACAGGCTTGCACTACTCAAGAAAATTTCAGACCTTCCAAAGGGAATAGCAGACCTCTCAATTTTGCCAGGATTTTGAAATTATTCTATTTTTCATATTTATATAAAGTTTGGCCCTGTTCTAAGAGAGAGGAGGAAACCAGAGAGAAAGTAGTGGATCAATAATTTCTCCATTTATTTCGAAAGGCCATTTTTGCCTCCTCACCTGAAAGCCATGAGATGTTCATTCTTCAATCCTATTTATCGCCCTGCTCGAGCATGCAAAGTTGGAGGGCATAAGACGAATCAGCTCCTCAACATTCTACTGCTGTATAACTTTTTTTCTTTGACTGCATTTTATTACAGTTCCTGTTATATAAAATTGTGCTTGGTATGTTTTCATCATTCTTTGAGGCGATTGTGACATGTCAATCTGTATTGTAGAACTTTCAACTACAAAATAATGTGGAGTTTGAAGGGTAAAAATACTTATTTGAATGAGATTATTGTTCCAGGAAATATGCATATTCATGTCAATTTTTTTCTCTTTCTTAAAGACGTCAATTTTCTTTGCTCCCTCAAGTGTATAGTAAAATCTCGATAAATTTATAACATCGCTCAAATAATAAAATTTTTTGATCTCGAAGTCTCATTTTGTTTGAGAGCCTTTAGGCTCAACAAAAATATAAAATAATAATTAATTAAATTCATAAAAATTTATAATTGCAATATTAAGAAACTTTTTACGACAATGTATTGAAAGTTGCTTTTTCCATGTACTCAATTTGAGCTCAACTTCATCCTAATTTTCTGCAATTCATCTATGGCATTTGGTATGTTTTTTCTTTGCGTAGGAATGCTTGAAGGCTTCTTTACAATAATAAAATAAAATAAAGTTATTATTTAAATCATGATCATTCTCGATAGGAGTTTCAGTAACTAGTCTTTGTGAGTAGGTTATTTAGTAATCATATCATTTTTACTAGGATAATTCAAGAGGTGATTGGCATTCATAAATTTTTGTAGTGCGGCTAATATTGGTTTCGTGCAATTTATTGCTAAATTAACTGTCCCTTGGATATTTATTCTAGTATTTGGAATAGAGAATATATGAACAAGATTAGGAAATATTGTGGATTTCCACGCAAATGGCAATAGAGCTTTTTCGTACATTTTTAATTCGTGAAATTAATACTCTTTTTTTAATCGATCTCAATATTATTATTTTATAGTGATTTTGCTGTACTTTTCACTTGTTTGCTAGGCTTAAAAAATAACTAAGTAAACAAGTTAACTTTATATATATAATGTATTGGTGATCAAAGATCAATATGATGTTTATTTTAAAAGTAACAACTATGTTACTATCAATACACTCTACTTTATCTTCTTTTTTTTTTTTTTTTTAAAGAAAAATTATCCTCCAACAACAATCATGTTAAGCAATCGTCGGGCAGATACTATAATGCTTAACATTTTGGGCCAAATTTATTAATTCAGATCAAGCCTAATGACTAAATGAGTGTCTTTATACTTGTAAGCTCACGTTTTGAAAGTGACTGGTTATATTGTTGTGAAATGCTAAGATAATGACTAGTGACAAATTGGTAGTAGATAATGCTAGGTTATTGGGCTGTTCTATTTAGGCCCTGTTTGTGGTCCTTTAATTTCAAAAATTGGAGTATGGAACAGTGATTCATGTTGAAATGAGTGGTTAAAAAAGAAAGAAAAGTTTTTAATTTATGTGTAGTATTATTTTAATGAAGAATGTGTGGTTGAAAATGAGTACTGTAAAAATAATGTGGTAGAATGTGGGAAAATGGTTGACAAACAAGGGCTTAAATAGTTGATATCTCTCGTTAGAGATATATTCTAGGGTTTCTTGTGCTTTTTCTCTTTTGTTCTTCGTCTTCTCTCTGTCTTTTGATTTTATGTGTGAGATTGATGTAAATAGAGAGTTCAAGGTTTAGATACTGTTCTTGTAGATTGGTAACATCTAATTACTTTATGTTGTTGAGACCAAGGTTGAGAGAGAGATCTGTATGTTTTGAGGATTTTCTTTGACGCTTTGTGACTGTCATGTTATCTTGAACGTTTTGATTGTGATATTGGATTTACAGCATTAACCTATGGATGCTCAACATGGTTAGTAGGTTTTTTGGTTAAACATTCGGGTCTTCAAGATAAAAAGTCTTGGTGTTCTTATTTTACTTAATATCAAAGATTTCATTCTGAAATCCATTTTTTTTTCTAAGCATAAAATAGATGTTGGAATTGTGTATTTTTAAAATTTAAAACTTCTAGTATCAATTCTAACCTTTGCAATATATCTGGAAGTTTTGGAAGAAATTGTCATAGATCTATCTTTGTCTATGGTTTCACGCGAGAATCTTAGAATTTCAGGGGCTACGATTTCTTCAAGATTATGATATATCTGTGTGATTATACAGTATACTGTCCTTTTAATTTTTTATTAGATTGTTGTGCATCTTTAATATTATATTTTGTGAATATAATTGCCAATTGTGAGTATCATGTGATTTTGTGGAATTCATATGATCTAAAATTCACTGAAATAAATAGTTTGCCTTTACATAGTTTTTTTTTTTTTTGGCCAACCATCGAACATTTTTCGAAGTGAAAATTGCTACTATTGAATCGGTAGTCCTATAATTTGGAGCTTGAGAAAAGAATTTGAGTACTTCATTCATCATCCTTGAGAAATAACTTTTGAATCAACATGGATATATATTTTCTTAGATTTCAAAGTTGTTATTAAAAGAAAAATTGGTTTCTCTTAACTACAAATAAAATTTTCAAATAAAATGGAAAGTACCAAGTTAGATGGTGAGATTTAAGGAGGTGTCCTCGATCGAGATTGTGATAGATTTTAAAAATATTTCTAAATTTAGTTGTTCTCAATCGAGATCTTAATGAAATTCATTAAAATTTAAATGTCCTCAATTAAGATTTTGATGAAATCCAATCTTCAATAACTAATAGATTTATAAAAATTTTATTAATAGAGGGATTTTAAAATATTTGGATGAATTTCAAACTTAAAAATACATAAAACCAAATCTTTTGAAATTTTATCATATTTGATGAAATTCTTATGAAATTTATGAAAATCTACTCAAGTCCATGAAATTCATTAGAATTTATAATATTTTAAAATCAATCAAAATATTAGTTGATGATACCCTTGTTAGACTGGCAAAGGAGATTTCAATCTTCGGAGTCAGAAAATGAAAGCCTTACTTTCACAAGAAAGATGTGTTAAAGACCTTGATGAATTTTGGACTGCTAATTTTGATACTATAGAAAAAACTGATCAAATTGAAATTTTATGAAACATTTTCCTGATAGTTTTATTAGAGATGTTGGTCAAATCAAAACTGCCTCAGAACTATAAAAAAAAAATAAAAAAAATTAGAAAGTTTAAATCAAAGTAAAACACATCCAAACAAGAGCCATTTGAAAAAACAAATTTCCTGTTTCAAATTTGATCTTAAACGTTTATCTTGAGACAAACTTGGACAGATTTAACAAACTGCACTTAGATCTCACCAGTAGTTGTAAGACCATCTTTAGTGATCAAGAGTCTGTGGCCTTATTGAACTCTTTATTTAAAAATATAAGAATTTGAAAAATGCTCTAGAATATGGAAGTTAATCCACAACTATGGATATTATTGTTTTTTCTTTGAAAATAGAGTTCGAATTTAAAAATTATTCAAAGGATTCCAAAAGTGGAGTTAGTTTGATGACAAAGGGTAAAAGAATTTCAAATAATACCAAATTTTCAAACAAAAAATCTGGCAAAGGACAAGAGTTTTTTGATAAATCTGGGAAGGACAAAAATAAACACAAGAACAAAGATAAGACTAAAGGGAGGAAGAAGAAGAGAAGAAGAAGTTATTTTCTGGAAAAATTGGACACTTAAGAAAATATTATTAAAAAATTGGTGAGTCGAAAAACACTCAAAATGTTGAAGGTGGAGCTGCTACAACTTATACAAAAAATTACAACTTCAAATGGACAAGTCTATAATGCTAGTCATTTTTCAATCAAAAATTAGTGGATTCTAAATTTTGGGTACACTTTAAATATTCCTCCCTACAAAGAATAATTTTCTGATTTTTTTTTAAATAAACGGCGGGAAAGTAATAATTTGAAATGATTTCTTGCAAAATAAAAGGAATTGAAAAAAATAATTTTGAATCTAGAAAATAATAATATCCTGAAACTTGAAAAAATCATGTATATACCAAATTTAGAGAGAAACTTAATTTCTGCCGGAGTTCTTGAGGATGAGGGCTATAATATAACCATAAAAAAAGATAGAATTTTCCCTTCATAATAGTTTAGCTAAAATCGTTAAAGCCTCCAAGCCCAATGATTAAATAGATTTTGGGCTTACTTGGTTGCCATTATATATGTAACCTTGCATTTTGAAAAGGGAAGAATACATAATTCTGGTGCTAGCTATACCATAGTTCAATTTTAAGGAAAAAGTTTTAAAAGTTCAAAACTCAGGTGATAATTAATAAATTTTATATATAAAAGAATCCATTATATATCTCTTTCCAATCTCTTTCTCAGACATCGATATCCACCTGTCGCCATCCCCTTTTCACATTCACTGATATCCATCCACCGTCATCTCTTCTCATAGTTTTTGACATCCCTCGCCACCACACCCTCTCACAATAATCTGCATCCACCTCGATTCAAGATCCACGAGTACAGTAACTTGTTTGAATTTTAAATTTAACAAAATATCGACAAGAATTGACGAATTATCAAATTAAACTTCAATTTGGACAATCGATTGGTGTCGATAAAGTGTAAATTTGATTCCGATGTTGGATTTATCATCAGATTCATGGTTAATTTGTAAATTTTTTGCTGTGTGGAGTAAAATACATATAAATTGTTATCTGTAATGTTGATCCAATGGTATTTGACAAGTTTTCTTGGATTTGTGATATTTGAACATTGATCTATTATATGTGATATTGATTCAATGGCCTGTGACCAATTCTCTTTGATTTGTGACTTGTAGACATTTATCTGTTACCTATTCAAAATGGCATGTGAAAATTTGGCATTGATATCTGACCTTTGAATGTTGACATGAGACTTTTGAATTGTAACTCGTGACCTATGAACTATAACATGTGACCTGTGGACATAAATCAATAATCTGTGACCAATTCTATTTGATCTATGGCATGCTGACATTGATATGTGACTTATACAATATGACTCGAGACCAGCAAAGTGTGACATGTGGCCAGTTCTATTTTATCTATAACATGTTTTATAATTATCTGTGACCTATGTACAATGACCCGTGACCTATCACCACCGAATTGTGACATGTGAACTGCAAATATGATCTGTGGCTAGTTGTGTTTGATATGTGACCTATGCACAATGACATGTGACCCATAACATTTAAACATGATCTGTGACCTATATAATATGATCATGGCTAGTGGAGTGACTATGACTAT